TCTGCTGTGGGCTTCCCCATTCTCCTCTATCATGTCCATAACTAAATATTACCAGAGACAGGACAGTGGGGGAGGTAGTCTGAGGGGGTATTGGAGCTGATCTGTGGGTAACCAGCAGTTGACAGGGATGAGGTGAGTGAGAACTCCACCTGATCTGCAGGGAGGGAGGGTCATCTCTTACTTAAGGTGCTGTTCATTATAACTCGGCTTTATCTCTCCATTTCATTGATTTGCTTCATGGGTGAGGAGACTGCCCAGTCAGACTTGTACAGAGGAGCAATACACAATGTAATTGCCGATTAGACCTTGATTTCAACATAAATTCAGTTTGAAGAAACATGGTGTGGGATTTACCTCACCAGATTTAGATGTCTGCTTCAGGATAAGATGAGCTTCTTTTCCTCTAGAATAACCTCTTTCTCTCCATTGCTTGGAAGGGGGATGCAGCCCCTAAGACGGATCAGGTGGATCTCAGCTCTAGGCTTTAAGAAAGAATAACCATAAAGTTATGCCCCAAACCTTGAAACATATTCTCTTTTGTGTTGCCCTGAGCTTGCACTGTGTTTCACAACTGGAATTAAAATAATGGTATGACTTGGAGAGTTTGCCTGTTAAGACTTGACAATACCCCAAGCCTCTATATTTTTTTTTTTAGAGCTGTGGCTCAGATAACACAATCGAATGCAACCTTTTGTAGAGCTTCTTGAAAGCCTGTGTACACAGCAGTTTCTTACCCTCCCTGAGCAGAGGCATGTTTCTCACAGAGGTCAGGGGAGGACAGGACAGGGGCTGGGATGCTGAGGGGAGCTAATAAGCCAGGTGCTTCTTGTAGAGGGTGAAATTTTCTAGCTGGACTCTCTATTGGTGTTTGCTGGGAAAGTTCATCCCAATGCAGCTGCTACTGAGACAGGGCAGCCATCAGGACTATGCCAGCCGGGGAGCTCGCATGGTGCACACTGCTGGGCTGTGGGACAAGCAGGGCTTCGGCTGGAGCCCCCTGTTGGGCATGGGAATGGGAACTTTGAGCTCCAGGAAGGCAGTAGGTGGAAGCTGCTGGGAGGTGCAGTGGGAGATTTCCTCAGAAAGCTTGGAGGGAGCCTCGTGAGCCTGCCAGGCTGTTGTTTGAAAGCTGACAACCTGCCTGGCAGCAGGCAGAGTGCTGGGGAGAGACGAGAGAAGCATCGTGAATGCTTGCTTCCTCAAAGTGGTTTGTGTGTGATTGACCCTGGGTTGTCTTTGATGGAGGATGTTTCATTTCCCTAAACCAACTCATGTTGTAGATCTAGCCCCATACACTTCATTTCAAACAAACCCATTCACACTCATGCAAGACTTTTAATTACTTCAGGTACAAATAACTTCAGTCACTGGATGAAATGGAAACAGATACGTATAAATATATTATAACAATAGTTTTTCTCCTCAAAGGAATTACCTTATGCTTCTGATGCCTTAAAGGTTGGGTTTTTTTCCACACCTCTTACACAAACACTATATAGTTTAGCTTGATGGACAGCACACAGTACCTGGGGTCTCTGGGACAGATTACAGGGGAGGCAGAGCAGCACAGTGCTGGTTTATGGCCGTTTAGCCAGTGACTTATTTTTAGTTCACTGAATAACATCCCTATCTGGATTGTGATCACGATGGTGACTGTGATGGTTATATCCCAGCAATGAGTTCAAATATAGCCCCTTAAAAGAAGAGGCCTTGCAATTTCCAGAAGAAGTGGATGAATAATTTTGCATGCTGAGTAAAAACAGCCATTAGCATTGTAAAGCCTGTGTAGTTTTTATAGAAGTTTCCCAGTAGCCTGTAGTGGATTGCCAGGTGCAAGGCAGAAGGCAGAAGGATTATAGCATGAAAGTAAGTCTAGAATAGTTTTTAAGAAGAAAATTGTTTTAACTTTTTATTATCTAAAAGAAGAAAATGCAGAAATGCCACAGCATCTGACGCAGAAACAGCAAAAAAACAGCCTAATTACATCATTCATACACATCCATACACGTTGTTTCATGGAGACAGCAAGTTAGTGTTGTTTTCTGCATTTACCATAGATAAAAGATGCATTTTGGTATGGCAAAAATTGCCTACTGCCAACACTCTGTGGACTTCTTTGCTATTGGAGAAAAAACTATTTATTTGTTGGGAAGGGGCATATTTTTCTCAGTGGCCATTGCTGCCCCAAACTACAGAGATACCCGATGATTTCCAGCACTCCTTTGTTAACACAGGGCTGAAAGCCGAATAATTAATTGCTCTCTCCATAATTTTCAAGACAGCAATGAAACTGCATTAGGGGTGCTTGGAAATGTGAAAGGTGTACACAAACAAAATGGTTTCAATTTTGGCAGTGTTTCATGATTAGCAGATGAAAGGGTAATATTTACTTTGGGGATACACCCATTTGTCTCTGGGTTAGAGGCAGTGAAACGAATACCTGCTCCCAGCTCATTGCGAAGCTCCCACAACACTTAACACAGCAACCAGGCTAAAATAGGTCATCGCTTCATCTGGTCAGTTGTGTAACAAGTTATCAATCTCTCCTTCTCCTCTCTAAGTGTTTCAGAATTACGGGAAGCATTTTGCCAGCCTCCACTATGTGGAAACGTTAAGGCATGTCCCTGCAAGACAGTTATTTCTAAACCCGCAGCTGAAAGGATCTTAGAATGCTCTCCCTCTGCTACAGATTACTTTGCACGCTCAGGGAAGATTGCCCCATTGCATGCTCAAGTGCTTTAAAAAGTGAAAAGCTGGGGACTGTGAAGAGGCTCATAACAGCTCCCTACTATTTTCTTTAACAACACGCTGAAGCATCTCTGATAGGGTTTTATAATTAGATCTGAACTTGTCTGCGCGGCAGTTTCTGGCATAATGCATCCACACGAGAGAAGCTACAACTGATCTAAAAATGTACTGTGACAGAACAGCCACAATGGGAAGCGATTGTAGGCAGTTAAATATTTGCTCTTTGATGGTTGACTTCACACTTTGACTTTAGAAAATCAGGCTACTTCAACATGAACAAGCCACTTGCTCTGATATTTGCCCCAGAAAACAAGGCATCATTGAATATTTTAATTGTGCTAGAAGGCTGGGTATGTATCATTGGCATTAGGAATGTTCTTCACAGAGAGATTTGTGGTGTACGTGTTGCATCAGGAATCTTGTGGTACAACATTACAACATTTCATATCTTTAGATTCTAGTAATCTAGGTTTCTTAAAGCTTATGAAATAATAGCTATTTCTGCCTTAAGTGCTGCAATGGAAAGAATGTTTTCATTGTGCAAATATACTTTGACATATTGCAGAAAGAGCTAAATATTTATTTTGTTAAGTTTCCAAATAATTTAATTGTCCAAGTAAGGAAAAGTTGGTGAACTGATTAGAAAAATAAAGATGTCGTGAAATGTGCAATGAGTGAGCAGCAATCCCATTTCAGACAATAAACCAGAGCTTAATGAACTCAATATTTGAGCACAGTTGACCTTCACTTAAAAGATGCTCACCTGCTCTGCTAAGGAAAACTGTGTTTCCCTAAAATGCCATTTAAATGAAGGGCAAAGGTCTTGTGTTGGAAGGTTTGGGTTTTTTTGTTGAGGGCTCTCTTCATTTCCCCTCAGGCAAAGAGGTCACTCCATCACTGTTCAGTTGGGCTTAGTTTCTGTTCCCTCATACAGAGGGCCTCATCATATTGTCTTGGTAAACACAAGCACAAGGATGTGAAAGCACAGAAGTGTTCTTAAAAATGCTCTGTCCATGATGTGGCCTGTCTGGATCTGCACATGAACATCCAAGCATGAAGTTTGCGGCTTTAAGCCTCTTAAGATTGAAGCTTGTGCTGATTCCTCGAACTGCTTGTCATCAGAGGCATGTTTTGCCCAGAGAGAGAGGACCGGTGATGTTTATGAAATACAAGTGGAACAATGTTGCAACGTTTGTTTTTACTCAATGTAGCAGAAGTGAGAGATCTTTTTGTTTTCCAATGATGATACTGTTTTTTTCTTCCTGCGTTTCCTTACACCTTAGCACACCCAGCTGTTGGCATCTGTTGTGATCATAATTGCGCACCCGGGAAGCCTTGCTCCTCCCTGTCCCTGTGTGAAGCCAGGTTACACCACAACCTAAGTTCCTTCTCCCACTTGTGCACATGCTCCCTGGTGGTGCTGACAGGGGACAGAAGCCAGTGGTGGGTGCCGGGGAAACAGTGGTCCAAAGCTGATTGATGGGTTATTTAATGCTGTGTTCCTAAAGAGTAAAATAGACTAATGGGGAGGGAGTGGGGTGCGTGTGAAGAAGAAAGAGTAGACCTGAGCATATGCTGGAAAAGGAGAGAAAAAAATAAACCTCTGAATATCTTTAAAAATCATCATATTTTTATCTGCTGCCAAAACCACACACATCCCTCTGCCACTGCTGTATGGCATTTTGCAGGGTGCAGATGCAAAGTGAGGCATCTGATAAAACTACTTTTCTTGGCTGACGAAGTCAAGAGGGAGATTCCTCAGAAATTAAAAACAAAACAAAAACAAACCCCAAAGCAACACATAAATTAAGCAGCAATTGCTGAAGGACTTTGTATGGAAGGCTCTATGAAATCCAGGTTGCTCGTCCATCCTCAGCACGCTCCTCTGCCTCACACTACGGTTTATTTCTTCGATCAGAGAATCACAGAATGGTTTGGGTTGGAAGGGGCATTTTAAAGCTCACCTAGTTCCAACCCTGCGACTGGGTTGTCGTAGGAGGTTGTCCCTGAGGCAGGGACACCTCCCACTACACCAGTGATTTAATGAAAGCAACCACTATTCATCATTGTCACCCAGCATTAACGAATTCACCGCATTAATAACTTACTTCACAGCTACACAGACCCATCGGAGCACCAACCTACACCACGGCACCCCGCAGGAGCGCCTCCCGCCTCCCCCTCCGCGCGCACGCCACGCGCCTCGCGCAGCCCGAGCCTCCGTCCCGCCCCCGCCGTGACGCGCTCCGCGGCGCGGGTCACGTGTGCCGGAGGCGGAGGCCCGGCCCGCCGCACCCGGAGCCGCCGCCATGCCGCTGCCGCTTCCCGGCCGCCCCCGCCTCGGGCAGGCCCCGCTCCCGGCGCTGCTGCTGTTGCTGGCGGTGGTGGTGGGCCCGGCGAGGCCCATCTCCTTCCAGCTACCGGGCAAGGCGCGGAAGTGCCTGCGAGAGGAGATCCACCGCGACACGCTAGTCACGGGCGAGTACGAGATCGGCGCCCCGCCGGGCTCCTCCACCGGACCTTCCGCCAACCTCAAGGTGTGACCGCAAGCGGCGCCCGGACGGGCGGGGGGAGGCCGTGGGTGGGGGGAGGCCGTGGCGGGCGGCGTGTCCCCGCCTCCCCGGTCGTGCAGGGGCGGGGCGTGGGGAAGGGTGACGTTCTCACGCGTGACACGGGCCACGCGTGGGTTCGCGGTGGGCCTGACGTGCGGGGAGAGATGGGGCAGGACTCGCTTCGCGCTGGGGCCCGCCTGCTCCCCCGGGGCTCTGCCGCCGGGGTATGGGGTAGCGGGGAGTGAGGCAGGAGTTTGAGTTGAGCCAAAACGTGTTTTTTTTCACCCCAGAGATCTGGTGGCGTCCGTTCAGCGTTCGGATTCTACGGCGTCTGGCAGGCCACGCCGCAGCGATAAACTGCTGGCAGGGTGTGAGGAGGAAGGAGTTACGGTGACGTGGCTTTAAGGGATGGAGCGGCTTGGTGCCAGGGATAGGGCAAGGTGGGGGATTAGAAAGCAGGTTTTGGTACACAAAATGGATGTTCCCATCTTAATTTATCATGTCTCACATGGATTTTAAGGAGGCGGGTGTCTGCTGCAGAGAAGAAAATGATCTTAAGGGATCTTTAGGGAGCATAGGTGGAAGGTAGCAGAATATATGTGACTAATACACCTATGTGACAAGCAGCTTTTAAAGCTTCAATGGCTTCACTTTAATTCTGTCCACAGTTTGCCTTCCCCAGGCTGTCTTCAAATTCCCCACCTAGCTGAGTAAGGGCTTTTTATTTCTCTCTGAGCTCCCAAAGGCTTCCAAAGTGAGCATACAGAGATAAAATAGCATCAGAGGTCTCTAAACTCGGTATTATTGGGATCTGAACTCAAGTTGGCCTTCCAGCATCAGCCTACAGCCACCTGAAGGCCTTGTGTAATTGGCAGTTGTGCTTGGGAATGGCTAGAAAAGTCTGTTTCTGCAGTCTTGCTTTTTAAAAAACCTTGTTCTGCTGCTCTTACATCATTTGTAAGAGAAAACTTGTCTCTATATAGGCAGAGCCAAGCAGCGCTAATGCTTTAACACATTTCTATAGTATTTGCGTGGTAATGTGCATGTATTTCAGATCAAGTACTGTGTTCCCAGCTGCCTCTTACCACCTGGTGATCACGCCTCCTGGTTCTCTGGTTGCCCACTCTTAGATCAACCCATCCCACAGTCTCATCCAAAACCTCACTTTTATGGCAGGACTTGTCTAGGGAGGTGGTGAAGCAATGAATCCCACTCTTGGGTTTTAGTCTGGCTTTGCTGCTGAAGCTGGTATCCAGGTAGGATTGCTCATGGAAGCTCTGTTGTATTCTGCAACATGGAAGCTCTTTATTCTTTCTGCAAAAGAAAAATAGATTAAAAGGAAGTCTTGTACTGGTTTTAAAAGCTGCAAAGGGTAAACAGTAGTTTATGCAATCTTGCTTTTCTTCTTAGTGTTCAGGTGTGCTGTGGCATCCCAGCGTGCTGGGTTTGTTTCAAGTGCTGTAACCCCTCTGCTAGGTGCCTGCTTCCTGTCTGTGCCTGTGTGGGGCAGGTTAGTTCAGGACATCATGACTGCAGGTTGTCTCTCCTTCTGCACCTCATGGCCTGTTCGAGCCACCTGCATCGAGACACCAAATGTAGGAGGCTGGTAGTTAGTTCTGGCTGGGCTTGGTTCGGTTCCTGCCAGTGAGCTCAGTTGTGTACGTGCGACACCCTGCGCTAACAGTGGCACCCTCTGTGCTGGAGGAATCCACAGGCCCTGCCAGCTGGCTGCCAAGGGATGGTGTTGGGGCGGCGGAGGTCCTGCTTGGCCCTGCCACGTGCCCCTGCCCCATTGTCCAGGCGGGTGCTTTGGGGAACTGTCGGGTTGTTTGTCAAGGGCAGACAATGCCCTGTCTGTAGGGGACTGCGTTACCGTAAATAACGTTAGAATAGGATAAAAAATCCCTTTCAGGTCAACTCCCCCACAAGTGTTCTGGCTGGGCTATTCGCAGCATCTCCCTCCCCCGCAGGCCCGCCTGAATGGGCCATGTTTTTGGCTGATTTGGGTAATGCTATTCAGTTCTGATGAAAGCAGCAGAGCTTTTACTGTCCAGAATCCTGTTCATGAGCAGGCTATTGCTAGAGCTGCAAAGGGCAAAAATGGATCAAGCTACGTAATATTCTCTAGCTAAAGATTAGCTCTGGTGTCTACAAAGCCCGAAGGGAATGGTGCTCAAAATAATAGCGACATTTGAGAGCTTTCTTTATTGTGTTCTTATGACCACTTCTTGGGGTGGAGAACCCAGTGTGCAGATGATACGGTATCATACTCATGAAGCTAACATCTCAGTTAATCAGGAATGCCCCATTAAATGGTGTGTGCCATATGGTGGCCAGAACACATGCTTTTGCTCTGTGTTTGTGTGGTCAAATGTGGACAGTCCTGTACTCCAGTGGGGCCTGCTCACTTGAGCTGTGTGCCTCCAAAAGTCTGGTGGTTTCCAGACACGAGGTGGCTTGTGGCAGGGGGATGGCAGCACAGCTGCCTGTGTCTGACCGCGCAGCATGCTTTCATCTGCTCACCGCTTGAACACAGGTAGAGCTCTGAGAGAAACTACAGTGCGGGAGGAGAATGGTGCTCCTCGTTGTTCTCAGATGCTGACAAATACCATATGGTGCAGGGGCAGCTACAGCAAATCCTGCAACAGACAATTACTGGATAATCTACATCTAGAGGAAGCTTGTTCTGGTTTGCTGCCTGCTATGGTTTATATCCTGAGGCACGAGGATTTATATACTTTATTTTTCCTGCCTAATGCAGCCACTCTCATCCATGTGATAGTCTTTACTTGTTCCCAGTCCAGCAGGCTACTGGCATCAGTGGTATTCCATGGCAGGGAGTTAATCTGGTATTCTAATAAAAATAGTGTTTCCTTAGAATAATTTTGTGTACATAGCCCTTTTGTGTGGCCTTTGTACAAGGAAACAAGGCTATTTTTCTGTTGCAAAATTGAGTAAAAGAGAATGTCTTACTTAACCTTCTCCATACCACAAATAAGTTTGTGTACCTCCATCTTTTATACCTTTAACGTTCCCAAGCTTTTTAGTCTCTTCACCTCTAAGACTTTCAAAGACCCCTACTAACATCAACATCCATGTTTTTCCGAACATACCTGTAGAAACATAAAGTTGAGGAGGACTGGGAAGCATTACAGTGGAACACGCACTATTGATTTTCATGCAGTATTGTAATACCTTCACTTTTTACCCCTCTCTGTGGTCAGAACATTTCAATTGGACAGAGCTTTTAATTGAGCACAAAGTGTGCACCATGAAACGTGTCCTTTCGGTGAAGCATTTTTGTAGACCCTCTGCAGTTTTTGCCTGTTCTTGGTAATTTCTCAGATTTAGCACAACACAGTTATTATTCTCTCTGGGTAGTCTGAATTGTTCTCTGAAGTGGCCACTTCTATGGATCTTGGCACTCAAACCTTCCCTGTATAACTCGGGGCCACACTGATGCCTCATTTCTAGAGAATAGATGTGTCCCTCTCCATTTTGTCTTCAGGGGAATTAGTCTTTTTTTGTCCCATAAGGCTTTTCCATATCTCTGTTGCTATGGAAATTTATGAATTTTGTTATAAAATGAAGGCAATGAGTAACTGTATGGTTTAGTGAGAGTTCCTAAATGTGGTCTCTGCTCAAGGGTTACAGGAGGAAGAGGTATTAGTATGGGTTTTTGGTGTTTTATGTTTTTTTTGGTTGGTTGGTTGATTGCTTTTTAGTGGGTTGTTTTGTTTTTTGTATAAGAGTCAATAATCCCCTTAGCGGCACTCTTGACTTTGCCAGCTCCTGGAGTGGGGATGAGGAGGGGAGGAATTGATACGGTTGCAAGGAAGGAGGGAAAATGTTGAAAGGAGAAAGCAGCAGATCCAAAGGGAAGGGTAGGAGAACTCTTCCCATACAGGCAGCGTGAGCCCGCAGCAGTGAAGCACTGTGTTTCTTACCTTCATTGTCTCTCTTGCAGATAACCGATTCAGCTGGACACATCCTGTATGCCAAAGAGGATGCCACTAAGGGCAAGTTTGCATTCACCACTGAAGACTACGATATGTTTGAGGCCTGCTTTGAGAGCAAGCTTCCTGTGGGTAAGTAAGGTGGAAGGTCTGTTGGCTGCTCCTAGCTTCTGATCACCTAGATATGTGGATTTAGGAGTATGAGTAAAGTGATCCTGAGTGCGGTCCACAGAACACTGGTTGACTTTTAAAGCTGATCTTCAGGAGGATGTGAGCAGTCTCACTGCAGAATATTTACTGTCACTGTTGTGTCTGAAGTAATCCTCTGTGGCTGTCATGTAGAGTGCTTGGGTTTTTGCAAGGTGAATCGTGTGCTCCTCCTGCAGAGGTCATCTCAGTTGCAATGAGTGGCAATACCTGGGAGCAAACCAAACCTTGTTTGCCCTTTTCATGCTTCTGCCCATCTTGCAGTCAAGCCAGGATACTCTTTCTCCCCAGCTGGTTGTCACTCCCCATTTGGTGGAATGTAATCTCTCCATAGTGTATACTTGGCAGGAATCCTGTGTTAGGTTAGCAACCATTTTCTGGGGTTGGGGGTGTGTGTACAGAGAATGTGGCCTTGGTGTGCACCCACAACTGCTCTCTAAGTGGTCAATAAAGGGAAGGGGAAATAAGCAGGATGTCAGCCTTGCATTTGCGCTGAGGGATTGTTACCTAATGAGCACCGAGGCTTATTTCCTGTGAGTGACGCATGTGCTGCTTTTGAGTGGCTGGGCTCAACCTCAGGACAAACGTGCTGGAAATGGCAAACGTGGGCTCTAGTCTCATTTGTGGTGGTGTGAGCATGTGCAGGTTTATAGGTGGTCGTATCTTTTCACAATCGTTGTCAAGAGTTCTGCTCCCTGGACCCAGTTTTTCTTAGTTCTTATCCTAAAGATCCCAGAGCCTAAAGATCCCAGAGCAGTTACTAGCAGCGTTCCTCATACCTGTTGAAAGACAGTCTCTGTTTTGTTGTTCTGCTCCATGTACAAGATACAAATAGTTTGTAAGTTGAAGAGAACTTTCCAGAAAGAGAAGGCTATCTTCTCTGCTGGGATTAGGAAGGCTCTTGCTTATAACACCTCTTCTATAGTATTCTACAAATAAGACAGTGACCTCAAATGCTTAGGATTTTGCTTCAAAGGTAGGGCTTCCAAATGCTCTTTAACACATAGAGACATGTAGGCACTAGTGAGTCATCTGGGAGTAACTCATGCTATTTACTGTCCAACACCTGGATATTTGGGAAGTCTCCAGACAGTTCCACAAACCCTTTCATAGCTTCCATGTGATCACACAGCAAAGTGGGAAAGGCTTCTTTCTTTAGTTGTGTCTAGACTCTTTATTTCAGTGCTTGTGACTAGAGGTTTCTCGCCTAGACTGAGTCCCTTATAATTATTTTGATTGTAGCAAATGTTTATTCCCTGGCTCCTTTGTATTGTTGCAAGTTTATTTTAAAACTTTCATTATTGATGAGGATAACGTATTTCTAAATGCAGTTTCTACCTGATGACCAGTGGGATGTTGAGGTGCCAAAATCTAGAGCTGTTCAATTGAGCAGCTGCATCCTGTTCTGGAGGCTTCTCTTTAGGAGCTTCCAAGCTGCCAGTTTCTTTTTGGACCCAGATGCCCTAAACTCATTGCTGAAGAGAGATGCTGTATAGGGAATATCTCCAGATTTTCCATCCCTCTGCTGGAAATCAAGGAAATATTTAGGTAAGGGAGGTGGCACTTTAAGTCTCAATCACCTGCAGGACTTGGTTAAGGTAGGCGGTAGGAAGTAGCCACATCACACATCACAAGAAGTGCCCTGTTTCCTCTATAAGGTCAGCATGGGAATGGGGAAACTGACCAAGTGCTGTTTTATCCCCGTGTTTCTCTTTAAAGGGTTGGATTTTCCTTTTTTTCTTCTTTTACAGTTTTATCAAGAAAGTGGTCAGGACTTGTAGTGCATCAGTCAAGGAGGATGTTGGTGGAGTACTGGAAGTGGAAAAACTGTCGGTAGAGGAAGCCCAGAGCCGTTGGGACCAGAAGGATCTAAGCAACTGGGATTTCTCAATCCTTAACCACAGAAATGAGGAAGGGGAAGTGAGAAGGACTTTTTTGAAGGACTATTTGAAAGGTCTACCTTGTCAGAGTGGAGTTCTTAGGGTGCTTCTTGGAGCTGTGAGTGTTAGCGCAACAGGCTTCTTTCCCCTCTTCCAGGGTAGAAGGGTCCTGTCTCCCTGACCAGTGTTCTGTTCTCAGGCATACTTACTTTCGCACCATATGCTAATCTTGGAGATGAACAGCCTGGCCTTACTACATGCTCCCCTGAAGGACTTTTCTTGTGTGCAGATCTTTAACCTCTTTGACCCTTCTGTAATCCTTCTCTTCCCAAACTTTCTTAAGAGTGTTATGGGTCATTTTCTTCTGGTTGAACTGTCCACCTGGCAGTTCAACTATCCTGGTTTTCCAATGACTTTGCAGACTAGGAGCTCCTCTAATCCCAGGAAACAGTTCTGTGCTCATGTGAAATGACCTCTTGAAGACCACCTGGGGGATATAGGGATCAGTTTAGTTTAAGATCTCTGGGACTTAACTGTTTTTCTCTTTGCTGTTGATCCAGTCTGCTCTGGAGAGCCCAGGCTGCACAAGACGCAGGGAGTTACTGAGGATCTGATAAGTGTGAAGGGAGCTGCCTAGTGCCTTGGGCTTAGTAAGCCTGTAGAAGAGCAACTTGAGTTTTTCCAGGCCAGTCCCTGACAATGTTAACCTCTTGCAGAATGTCTGCTTTCCATCCCTTTGCACCCAGCAGCAGCTCTAAGGTTTCTGCTTTCTTACTGCTTCTTGGTAGCTCTCTCTTCCAGCCTGACGAATTAATCCTTCCAGTTCTGTACGCCTGTCCACCAACTTTTTCATTTTTCTCATCTCTTCCTGGAAGTTCCAGCTTTCCACCCAAGTTGCTGCAATTTAAACAATGCTGAAACAACCCCCTCACTAAACTGTGTGCTTTGAATTTTCCTCTGCAGCTACTGTTGGCTGTCCTACCTGCCAGTCCCTAGGCATGATGATATATGTATGGCCTAAGTGGCCAGAACTTGTGGTTGCAGAAAGGAACATTGGGTGGTTGTACACAGCCTGTCTGTTGAAGAACAGTGCTGGGATTTTAGTTTGTTTTCACAGTAACAAGACTTTTATAAGAAAATAAAAAAATCCATCCTAATCCTAATTTTCCCATTGGGCTCTTACATACCTGGGTTTGAATTTTGAGCTCCTGTATCCCTCAGGAAACTGAAGAAACATTTTGCAGTTGATATGGACCATCTTGTCAGTAGGTTATTCCATGTTCTCCTAGCAGTAGAAGGTGGTGGTGGTGATTCTGCTCTGGTGTGTTGAAGAGCTGTTTGGTGGGTAGAGAGAAAATTTGGGGATATTGTTTTGAAGATCTGGAGTATCTTATTGTTCTGATTGGAGTGACCCAGTGTAACCTGTACACTGAATTTGTTTGTGGACTGAGGGGAATATCCACCTGGCAGCCTCCTAAGGCAAAGTGTGAGTATTGGACATGCTCCTGAATAAAGACTTTGAAATTCGTGGTGTAAGTGAATTCAGACCTTGTGTTTGCTGGCAGCCAGCTGAGGACAACTGTATGCCCCAATGTGCAGGGGTTTCGGAATGTGTTATGTACAGATATTTCTTTGGTGGGTGGTATAGTAGAATACTGTACTCAGCTCTGCTGACATGCTGCATTCTTTAGGGTATATCATATGCGTAGCCTAAATACAGATATATATTTTTTTCCCCTCTTGTGAATGTTCTCAGATGTGACAGTTTGTAGCAGTTAAAAGAAGCTATTAGCTGTAGCTGTCCCTGGCTTGGAGGCTACAGCCTTAAAAGATACCTACTGTGCTGCTGACTGCAGCCCTATCCTCCTTGCTGTTCATGCAGCTCTCGCTGACAGTTCTCTGAAGTGATGCTTTCTCAGCTTCAGAAGCCTCTTCCCATCTCAGGGTTTTCATTAGCAGTGTGGGTCTCAGACTTCTGGGCTGTTCTTTTCCGAAAAGATGTGTTGGTAAAGGAATTGCTTTTGTTTCTGCAGATACTGCAGCATCTGAGGGTCAGTAGTCCCCATATGCCATATTCCTCAATTCAAGCATTTAGCTTCTGCTCCTTTGAATGTAAAACCATTTTACAACCCCGGTAACCTTGACAAGTTGCTGGTGTACTTCCTGCTAGGAGGAATGCGGGCTTCCCAATTGAATATTTGTCCCTCTGGTGACTTGTAGGCTGTCTTGTAGCAACTGGTATTCATCTTCTAATCTCTGCAGTTTTTGCAGTGATTTGCATCCTGTACACACTTAGCACTTTTAGTTACAGCTTGTTCTCATTATCTTTGTGAGGCTCTCCAGCCAGGATTTATTGTGAAGTCTCTGTATTTTTAGGCTGTACTGTGCTGCCTCCGCACTTAGCTGCAGACATGGAGGGAGGGGAGTGATATTGTGAGTTCTTCCTTAGTGGTGGGGAGAGCTGGTGATTTCCTGGCAGGCTGAATGCTCCACACAATGAATCCTTTCATTATGTTTCCAGGAACAGGGAGGATGCCGGACCAGCTCGTGATTCTGGATATGAAGCATGGAGTTGAAGCAAAGAACTATGAGGAGGTATGTCCCCTGGCTGCCTGCACTGCAGGCTCCCTTTTCCCAGCACTCACGTGATGCCATTTGTGGATCTGGGGCTCATGATGGGAAGCTCTTTTCCCAGCGGTGATGAAAGCCGGCTTGCAACCTACAATTCCAGTGAAGCTTTGTGTATTAGGGGAGAACAAAAAAAAAGGACAGACATCAACTAAAATTAATTCTGTACTCTGGGGACTGGAGCCTAATATGTGAATTTCTTTGCTAGAACAGAGTGACCCAGCTTCTGGGCATAGGCATCAGAAGCAAAAAGAGACAGATCTAAAATGCCCAGCAGTGGGGGGCATTTTTGGTTAATATCGGACCATCCTAAAGGTCAGGTTATGTTGTTCTTGCTCTTCCTGACTGTAAGTTGTACTGGCTTAACAGCCCTGAAATAGCACTTGTGCGTTGCTAAGAACTGGCATATGTGTAACTGCATCAATGTAGTGGTGTTTGGCAGAGTAGTAGCTGGTGTGAAATGAGTATTTGATTTGAAGGTATGACATTGCAAGTAGGCATAAAGCCTAAACATTTATGTCCTAGGAGGACATGCCTTTCTTAGACTCAAAAGCCAGCTGTGTGGAATAGCAGTTGCTTTGTGGCTGGGACAGTCCCGGCTGGTTTAGATGATGAATTCTGATAGCTGCTACTAATGCTTTTGGCTCACTAGAACTGGGGTCAGTCACTCCACAGCACAGAGCTTGTGCCTGAGGAAATGAGAGCTGTTGGTGGAGAAAGATTCCTGCAAATGACTGCTGGGTCCACTGCACACAATAGTGTGGTAGATGCCTTGGGGAGGGCACTGAGTGGCAGAGGAGCCTGTGTATGGTGTCAGTTAGGAAAAGAATTTCTGAGATGGTCATGCTGGATTCTTATAAGCTTTTGAGCTTTGGGCTAGCTGGTCCTGTGTGGCTTACATCACTCTAGAGCACATCCTATGTGGAGAGTAAGAAAGTGCTTGGGGTCAGGGAGGAGCAGAGCAATTGTTGCCTAAGTCAGTCTAGAGCACATCCTACATGGAGGGTAAAGCAGCAGTTGGGGTCAGGGCAAAGCAGAGTAATCCTTGGGCCAGCTGTCTGGCCACCAGCTACTGCAGGATTACAAGATGTTGAAATCTCATGGGATGACTCCTGACAGCATAACTGGATTATGATGACTTACAGGTAAAGAATCTCTTTAAATACAACCCCGCAGCATACTCTGAGTTATTTTATTGTAGTGCTACCTAGAAGCATTGTCCCTATGCAGAAAGGTTCTCTTATGCTCATTTATCTGCATACTTACTGCTTGTACTTGTAAAACTTCTTGGAATAAAAGTAATTATCTGTTACCCTTGTCACTGTAGTGAGATGGATGGAAAAGGTCCATGTACAAAAAGAACTTAGACTTTCAGTCCCACCTGATATCAAATGCAGATCTCGGCAGTACTGGCAAGCCTCCTTGGCTTGTGAGGACCTCTCAGAGTGGAAGACTGTTAAGCCTTGTTGAGCAGCGTGTCTCAGACTGGGTTAGTGTTTATACAGCTGCTGTGGATGTTTAGCCACACTGCTTTGGAGTGTGTTTTCTTCTTTTCATCCTCTCTCTCCCAAGGTTGCTCTAGTATTCATGGGTTTTGACTTGACAGGTTGCTATAAGGCCTTGGAGGGCAGGACTGTTGCTTGGTTGTCTTTCCTGGAATTGCTGCATTTTTGAGCCTTTTGCTTGTGATGCTCATCTGTTGTAAGGTACCAGTGACCTGTTGTCCTGGGTTCAGCAGTAGCAGTCATGTTTTTCCTTTGTGTTAACTGGTGCAGTGCTGTGTTTTGACTTCTAGCTTGAGAACAGTGTTGGTGAAGCCAATGTTTTCGGTTGTTGCTAAGTGATGTTTACCCTGACCAAGGACTCTGTGAGGCTCATGCTCTGCCAGGGAGGAGGGGAAGCTGTGAGGAAGCAGAGATGGGGCGCCTGACCCGTGCTAGCCAGGGAGGTATTCCATACCACAGCACGTCATGCCCGGGGTGGGGGGGTAACTGGGAGTTACTCGGAAGGACAGGGGCTTCCGGGTGGAACTCGCTTTCTTGGCCAGTGGTATCGTATTCTCTTCCCTTGTTATTTTCCCTTATCATTGTTTTAGCTGATAGTAGCGGTGGTGATTTGTTGCTGGACTGTTCTTGTCTCAACCCGTAGGAGTTGCACTCTCTCGATCCTCCTCCCCGTTCCTCCGGGAGCGGGGAAGGGGAGAGCCCCCATGCGGGGGGGGGGGGAGACGGACACAGACCTCGATTGTTGTCAGCTCAGCACCACTCACTGGGAGTGAGTGAACAAGTTACCTGACTGGGTTTAAACGACGACACCTGTCTTTTCCACCCAGTTCTTGTTGAGTTACTGCAAGGAGTTGAACAAGGGTCACCGATACTGTCCTGCTTGTGCATGGATACGTGCAGTGAGAAGAGGGCTGGTGTTCAAGTCTGGCTTCGTAAGATTCAGACATTCTTGAGCAAAGCAGCTGGGAGAATGAGCTGGGTTAGAAAACCTAACTGCATGGCAGTGTCATACCTTAGTTCTCTGGGGCAGGGAATGACTTTATCCATTCAGTAAGTGGAAATGAAATTAAGGAAAAGGATAAGACTTTTCAGAAGGCACAAAGAAGGTTTGATGATCTAGGTTCCTTTCCAGATCAGCTACTCCATGTCAGTTCTTGGTTATTGGCTATAGCATGGCAGAGTTAGGCTTTGACAGATCGTTTGAGTTGCCCCTTAGAAGTTTAGTGGCATTTTTGTCTCAGCTGTTCTGGTGGTCCAGATGTTCCTTCTAGGATGATGGTGTTCTTCCATCACAGATGGTGGGCTTTTTACAAAATCCTTTGGAGCAGTTGTGCATATTGGTTTCACTAGGTATGAAAGATGTTCCAGGTATGTCTTGGAGTACAAGTAGGACTAAAAATAGCCATCAGATGTTTCACACCTATTCAGAGCAGCTGAAGGGATGCACGACAGAGCAGACAAGCCTTGTTTTTTCCCAGTGTAACCTTTGTAGCTTTCTGTGAATGTGGAAAAGTGCCCTCCAGGAAGATAATGGAGCCAGTCAGTGGGGGTTAACTTGTCAGTATAGCTGCCTGAGACCTTGTGTGTTACAGATCCCTTGTTCAGGGACTTGTAGAGGCCCCTTGTATCAGCAGTCAGGGCCATAGGCATGCTTACACTGGTGGCAGCAAAGCTCTGAGGGCAGATAGGTGTCCAGACGACAGGACTTACTTAGTGCAACCTGTTGGCTAGAAAGCAGGAGGGGTTTAACTTTGTTTCCTACCCCTCCTCACAAATGCACTCTGAACTGACACTGCTGTGCTGGCAGAGCTGTGACATACAGCTTGCCTCAGCACAAAAGTCCTCAGATGACTGCTTGGTGGCCTGTAGCTTGCCAGGATATGTGTGTCATGTGAAGACCCTTCAGTCAAATGGCTGATGAGCTAGCACTGGTTACAGCATCTCTTCAGATGGGCTCTGATGCCCAGGCAGCTGCCTCTGGAAGTGATGTTTTGGGGATGCCTGCACAGTGAGCACCCTGTTGCCTTCCTGTCAGCATGGACCACTAAGGGATGCCATCCTGCGGCTTACGTCTGAGGAATCCTGTGTGGCTGTGGGACTGGTGGTGAGCTGCATGTGCTCTGTGTGTTTTCTGTAGCTGCATTACTTAGGGACACAGCATCTGACCTTCATGGTGGGGGCCTGTCACATGTTGGTAATGGTGACAAATTCTATCCCAGAACCAGAGTTACCCAAACTCTACGCTGTAGCAGTGGCAGGAATTGCAAGTTAGCTTCCTTTGAGTAACGTCGTTGTCACAGATTTTATGTAACGTAGTCAGGTTACAGCCAGGGCTGGGGAAGGGATATATGTTCAGCTTTCAATAGTTGCTGTTGTGGACTGTGCCTTCTAATTTAATTTCCTCTGGATTCTTACTTTTGGATACAAGTCTGTGACTAGTAGGACTGTGGGTTGCATGTTCTGCACAAAAATGGTGTCCTGTAAAACCCGTTTTTAGGAGGGAAGTATATTTTTTCCTTGACGCTGGCTCAACGGGAGCCTGTCCCATAAGTATTCCAGCAGCGTCACCTGGTGGCTTGAGGCAGATGGAGCACCTCGTAGCTGCGTGAAACCTACCAAGAGGATGTGCTGCCCTTGAGGTTATAAGTCTAAGTGATAAAAGTCCTGAGCTTTTGTGGGTGTAATCAAACAACTGCCTCTGGGAATCAGACTTTCTGGGGCATGTGGCAACTGTTAGCAAAGCGAGTCTCAGTGCTAATATCCTGTGTGCCTATAGAACAATGTCATATGCGTATGTAAGTTAGTCACCTGTATCTCAGTCTCTGACTTGTATTCACTGGAGCTTTAGTCATGTGGCAAGCTCTTCTACCCACTCCTCAGAAGCCAACTGTGAATAAGCTAACATTAGGCCGAATAAGGAAGAAATGTGCTTGTGTGCATACTGTGCTTCTCTGTTGTGTAGGAGGAGTAGTAGGAAAGTGTGTTTCAGAGAACAGGTGGGAGAAGTGATAGTGTTTTATGCAGTGGTAGTTTCTGGCTTGTAGAGGTGTTTCCCTAGGGGAAGGATGCCCCAAATCTGTACTGTGTGAGGAGGAGTGTTTCAAACTGGCAGTAAAAACCCATGTGGGAGCTTTTGGGTTTGGCTCAATGATTGCCTGACTCTTCTGTTTTCTAGATTGCTAAAGTAGAGAAGTTGAAGCCTCTGGAAGTAGAATTGAGGCGCCTGGAAGATCTTTCAGAGTCTATCGTTAATGACTTTGCTTATATGAAGAAACGAGAAGAGGAGATGAGGGATACAAATGGTAAGAGACTGTGTGCCCCTTCAGAGGCATGGAGCTCTCTCTGACTCCTTACTTTTGCTGAATGTATTTTTAGGACAGAATTTGAAGACGAAGCAATTATAATGGTCTTTCCTTGTTCTGTTCCGTAGTAAGGGAAACCTGCTGATATTTCTCCTTCTGAAGCAGTCACTGAGTCTTGTGTGTCCCACCTCTAGAAATAATTTCTTTCTGTCTCCATTCTTAATATGAATTACTCCATGCCATTTAATGTTGCCCATTAACCTCAGTTTCACCTTGTTATCCTCTTTTTGTTTCCTCTGTTTTTATTCTCAAGTATTGCTAGTGCTTCAGTGCCCTTGCCTTCATGCTGTATGATCTAGAATCATAGAATCAACTAGTCTGGAAAAGATCACCAAGTCCAGCCTTTACCCCAGCACTGCCAAGTCCACCACTAACCATGTGACTAAGGGCCTTATCTGCATGGTTTTTGAACACTTCCAGGGATGGTGATTCCACCACTGCCCTGGGCAGCCTGTGCCAGTGCCCAGCTACCCTCTCTGAATAAATTTTTCACAATATCCAATCTGAACCTCCCCTGCCACAGCTTGAGGCCCTTACCTCATATCTTGCCTTTGATGGGTTTGAAGAGAAAATCATGGGAGCTTTGCCCTCTGGAGGCGCATCCTGCAACGTCAGACTCCCGTTAATGGTTTGTTGTCTGTTTCAGAGTCGACGAACACCCGGGTTCTGTACTTCAGCATTTTCTCCATGTGCTGTCTCATTGGACTGGCCACCTGGCAAGTTTTCTACCTGCGCCGCTTCTTCAAGGCCAAGAAACTGATTGAGTAAAGGAGCAAGTCCTCCTCCCCCTCCTCTCAAGACCCAGCTGGACACCGCTGGGACGCAGCTATGGCCCCTGGAGCCATATCACAGATGATACCCACTGATCGGAGCTTTTCTTCAGGAACTTGGACCCTAAAGGGGAGGGGAGCCTAAACATTGGAGGCAGCGGGGGACTTGTGAAATCCTGTTGGATGTTGAGGGTGGGGGAGGTTGTGATGGGTTTGGGTATTCCTGGGGCAGCGATTAAATAATAAAAAAACGATGTTTCCATGACAGCTGCAGTAAGATTTTTGCGCTGTCTGTTCTCCTTTTATAATCTTGGCTTGATGATGTCTCCCATCTCTGTGACTGTAGTGTTATTCTGAGCCACTTGACCCTGCTGAGCTCTTTAGGTGCCATGCAGCTAGCATGGGCAGAATGGGGGATCCCTTGTTCTGACTGGCTGGGATCTAAGCCTCGTGTAAATGGAGGTGAATGCAAAGCAATAGGATTCATCTTTCCAGCAGGGCCTGAGGATAGAGGGAGGTCCAAGGTTTGGTCCCTGTTGTGGACCTCTGTGTTTCTCCCTGTGGGAGCTGGTGTCTTTGTGCTGACAGGTCAGGGCACTTGAGTTATGGTGGTTCAGTCTGGAGGAAGGGGGGAGCCTTGGAAGGAGGGCTTGGGAGCATGTTTGAGTGTGAAAAGGAGAAGCCTGCTTTGCTCAAATATGCTGTCCAGCCTTGGTCCTGCCCTTGCTCCACGTGTTTGTCTTTGATTTGCCTCTTGGTCTGAAATGATACAGCAGCTTTCCTGAAAGCCTTGGTCTGGGATGGTCTTCTTAGCAGACAGGAGGCCTCAGTCAGATACAGTCACAGAGCAAATAGGAGCAGGTTATGCTAGGAAACACGGTCTTTCAATGAACAGGAGACTTTTCCCATCTAACTGGGTAGTTTTTATCCAGCAGGCAGCTGGCTGAATCCTGTTTTCTGAGACCTCAAAGCAAGGTGGGATGCTGCTCATATGAACCCTGAGGACCTGTACCCTGCATTGAGGTCTGAAGGGTGCAAGGTGCTTTGCAGATTGGCAGAGGAGACAGAAGAATGTGGATGAACTCAATGAAGCAGCACAGGGTAGGAATAAGCTAATTCTGCGTTAGGGGAGTCTGAACTGTGCCCTGGACAAAATTGTTCTAATTTTATAATCCTATGCGGTACTACAGAGAGAGCAAGCAACTTGTTGGATCTCAGCTGTCCAAATGGCATGATGTTAAATAAGCCAGGTTGGGAAGAAACAGGCAGGTTCACTTCCTGGACTGATGTGCTGCAGTTTTTAGGCAGTGATTGAAATTCTGTCACCTTCTTTGCATTGCTTCAGAGCAAGTGGTTCAGCAGCAACAGCATTGTGGTGTCCTGTGCCTAAGACACTTCTGGCTGGAGAAGGGGTTGTCATGGCACTGGACCCAGCCTATCATTTTGAAAAATAGCATGGATTTATAATTTCAGATCTGAATATGATCTATTGCTGTGAAGGAAACAGTTGCCCAGGGTGAGGCAATGGGAAAGAGGACGGAAAGATGACCTCTTGTCATCTAAATACATCAGTACTTTGCCTCCCCTTTGCCATTGCCAAGTTCCTGGAGTTTAGTTCCACTGGCAAGTGCTTAGATTGCTTTTAATTTGTTTCTTTTTTGATAAAGCCATATTAAGAACCCAAGCCCACTCCTCTGCCCTTGCATCCATTTTATCCTTGTATGTTTTGAAAGCTGTTACAGTGCAGAACAGCAGCGATGCCACCAGAGTGAATTACAAAAGTCATTTGAAGGTAATTTTAGGTCCTGCAGTTTGAACCCTGAGATCTGTTAAGGTTTTGCTTTTGTTTTTATATAACTTGAAAGGACAGTACAAGAAAGGGACTTTTCCAGTCTTACTGTTTTGATATGCTCTCGCTGTCCTTATCTGAATACAAAGATATCTTTATCTTAAAAATGGTGGTGAGGCCTTAAGTTCCCCAGGTGACTGTTACGCTATCATTGTCCTGGTGTTACATTTTGATCTCCACTGTACCAGTGTGGTTACTGGGGAGCAGGTGAGGGGGCTGGTGTGGATTTATCTGTAATGACTGTAATGGTTGGGGGATTTTTGTCAATTTTCTCAAATAAAGTTTCTTTTGGGAGAACCAACCTGCCTCGGTTGTCTGTGTGAGTCTGTCCTCTTTGTGCACGTTCCTCTGCAAGCTATTGTATTGCAGTATGCAGCCCCCCCTCGCAAGCCTTTGGGTTTCTGTAGCCACAAATTTCAAAGGAGTTTGAGAATTCCAGGCTTTGGAAACCTACTGGCTGTTCCAGCTTTTTTGCTGAGCTGGGACCAGCACAGCAGAGGAGGTGCCTCAGGTTACCATTTGTTGCCTTTCTTTGCCCCTCCTTGTAGTTACATACCTCTATGTGGAGGAATTTAGAGCCTAATAGTGAAACAGGGCTGGTGCTCTAGAGCACAGATCCTGGGTTTCTCCATCAGCTCCTATGTAAAATTCAGCTCATTAAGACAAATGGTATTAACTGTTGGGTTTGTGCTTTAATGGGAATTTTAAGTTGTTGCAAAAATGAGTTGGGTATGCGTGAGGGACAGATGCTCACTGAAGAGTGGCTAAATATTTACTGAACTGCTGTCAGATCTCTGCTGAGCCTGTGAGCCTTTGTCATGCAGTAACCAAGTAACGTATGCCACATAACAGGACTCTGGGCACGTGAGTGCTACGTAACTTGTTAGTATTATCAGGGAGGATTTAAAGAAGGGAAATTCCCAGATCTTTGGATAAGGATTAGCCTTCGCAAGTTCTTTCACGAATGAATGTTTGAGCATGTGAAAACCTACAGCTGTTGTCATGTGGTAGGTTTGTGGTGTGTCTGGGCTGTTTTACAGCACTCTGCATGAAGAGCTAGTGTCTTCGTTCCATTTCACTTCTGGGAAGCAGCTTAAAGTTGAGCAGTTGCAGATACTTGGGTCTGAGCCCATCTTTGTGTGTGACAGATGCATCACTGCTATAACTGCCTGTAGCAAACTGCATCAGATGTTTCCAGCCTCTTCCACCCACTTATCAATGTGACTAACGATGTAATTATCATACTACTTAATACCACAAGTGAGCATTCCTGAGTAAGGCTTATCTCCATGTATTCCCCCTCCCGCTATGCCAGTATAGGCTGTACCCTGTACAAAGTACCTGCTGCAGCTGTCTGTGTGCACGCATGAGGGGATAAGCATTTTACACATTCTGTTGCTCATTTCTTAGAAGCTGCTCAGGTATGTGAGAAACAGCCCACCACCTGTGTTGTTTCCTGACTGGCACATCAGGGACTTAACAACTCAAACTAGTTTGGCAACTGGCTGGTGAGACCATGAGGGGGATTCCTGCCTGTGCACTGCATGGGGTCTTACAGCAGAGGTTTGAAAAAGCAGTGTGGCTTCTCCTCACCCCACAACCCAGTTCATGGGATGTATTTCTGTTTCTCTCATCTCTACCTGTATCCCTCTGCTGTACTTGTCTTTCAGCTGCCGGGGAAGGCCTTGCCTTTAGTGAACAAAGTCTCTTGGAAATTAACTTCCCACACGCTGAAGGTGACTTGTTGGCAAAGAGCGAGCACAAACCCGAAATGGGTATGTTTTTCACAGGAGAAAAATGCAGGGTCTGGTGAAGACTGCAAGAGTTCAGGGTTGGGAGTTTCATCTGCTGCCCCTTCACCTGGAAAATTTGTCAGGCATGTGATTATTCTGCTGTTCCTCCCTCAAATTACTGCAGGCTCTGGCAGGCCTGCCCTTCTCTGAGGAAGGTGGAAGGAGCAGAGGATTTATGGGAAAAATTGCCTATTGGCATTTCTTGGACCTTTTTATTAACTTGAAACGTGTGAGCCCAAGCTTTTGCTGTTAACACTAAAACACTTGCATTTGCCCAGCAGTGTTTGAAGGAAGCCTGTTTTGCTTTGCACTGGCAGGGACAAGGAGTTGCTCTGTTTCAGCTGAAGTGACTCAAATTTTCTCCAAAATGGCTGTTACAGATGCCTGGTTGCTCCTTCTGTTGCGAGAGGTCCGTGTGGTTTATCACCTTAAGGCATTAGCTTCTGCACTTCCAGCTTGCTGACGCAGCCTGCCAGAGGACCTGTGATCTCCAGGTGTGTTCTAGTGATCTTTGCTATGAGGATCATTCCTTTAGCGCATGCTTGGAAAAAGCTGCCATGTCCAGAAGGACCCATCTGATGTTTATTTGTTTTTGCAATAAAATATGCAGATTGAATAACTTCCTTTGGGGGCATGTTACTCAAAAAAGGTAACGACAAAACATGCTCACGTTGCTCTGTCTCATTGCTGTGGTTTCCTGTCACTTAATTTCCTTTCGGGGCTGATATTCCTGAGGTATCTTTTCCCTGAGCTTTTAAGTCAGACACATTATACAATCTTTGCATAAGCTGCACCAGGATGTTCTGTTGGAATTGTAATGAGATGAACTTGGCCTTTCTTGGTTATGTGGGAATGCTGTTCTTACAGCTATCATGCAGGTGAGGCAAGCAGAGAGGAGGGCATGCTGGTGTCTTCCAGCTCCCATTGCAGCTCTGGTCTGATCTGCTGCAGATCTTTACCCTCTAGGGTTTTCTCACCTTGGTGAGCTGCTTGGTCTTTTATTTCCCCCTCAATATACTTTCTTTGTATAATTTTCTCTCAGCTGTAAGGTAGTTGCTATACATACGTAACTGGAATCTCATGGTGGTGTTTCTTAATTATAATTTACCATCTAGATGCCTTGTCACTTCTTACTTTCCAGTGTGGGCTTCTCTTTCCTTGTCTTAGTAATATAATCAATATATTGTCTTAAGTCTGAAAACCATGAATGAGATCTTTGAACTAGGGCAGACAGTTGCTACGATTTAGTTTAAATAACTTTAGTTTAAAGTGTTCCTACCCTTATCCAAATTCATGCTTGAGCAATGATTCTGTAAGAGGCAGAATGGCACACTGCCTCTAGGTGGTGTAATTTCTTTAGATGCTCAGTAAAAACTTCCCTTAGGAAGAATCTTGCTGTGAGAGTTACTGCCTTGCATTTTAAAGTGTAGTAAAGGCAGCACTGTGGGGTGGGTAAACTTGTTTGTAGCTGCTACTGTGATAATTTTATGGAAGTATTTGTGTAGTACTGTAGATAAAATTGGTGAGATGATAACTACTTTTCAAACTGGAAAAATGAAGCTTGACCTTTTTCAATTACTATTCTGGTTTTCTACAACTGGTGCAGATTCCTTAGTCCCATTT